AAATGAAGTGTATCAGCTCAATTGGCAATTCTCCAGTAGAGATGAGAATAACTCAACATTGCAAAACATCGAATACCTCACAGACAATACAAATAAGAAACAACCAAGAAGTAGCAGATGGATATCGAGCGGAGCAAAAAGCATGTTATCAGACAAAGTGAGTTAGGTAAGACAGTAGTAAGTTGTAAACTCCTAGGTAAGACAACGTCGAAAGAGCTCTACACGCGATCACTGGCCAATATATTGAGTTCTGAATTAGTGAACCAGCTAACGACAAATTATTGTGCAGCTGGTGAATATCGTCATTTGAAATATCACTGGTGCCAATGATACAATTATTCATCGTCTGACGAGTAACATGATTAAATTAGATAATTTCAAATCTGCTAATTTAATAATTTGTCGCTTGGTTTACGCTGGATCGACTCTACGACAAATTTGTTTGGTCAGCGATGGATGCAAAGGGACAACGCCGGAAAGAGTGAAGAGTGTCACTTATCCTAAACACAGACCTCCTAAACGATCGTCTCATGGATATAGCGTTGCATGCAACAACAACAGATTTTTCGCATCGCACAGCTGTTTTAACCATGTCATCACTTGCTCGGTACTTCCTTCCCATAATGACTAGTACTCTGTTTCGATTCTCGCACAAGTAGCGGGTAGACGACCAAAAGGTTGCGTATATGGCAAAGATGAAGCTGTCGAAGTGTCAAGCAATATAGGTCTGGTACGAGGGTCATTTCTGTCTTCTTTATTATTAACTCTCTACACTGACGAACGATTGAATGCCATCACTTTGATTTCATGGTTTGAATACTTGCATGAGCATCAGAGTTCACTGCGCGAGGAAGAATTTTTTGCAAATTCGGTATATCTCATGATAATCTAAAGAAATACGTGCGAAACGTCATTCATAATGAGAAATACCAAAAGTTCCAACTTGACTCATCATACATGTACTGGCTCCTCATCTACATCATACAATGCTTGCTTGCAAGGAATAAAATAAATATTTTCGCGTATTGATTTCATATCACCTTCACTGGTATGCACATGTACCAAACATCTATTCTAAATGCAACAAATCCTCCTGCTGTATAAGATTTCTAAAATCTCTGAAAATTCCGCAAGCTGCAGACAAGGCAATCATTAAAACGTGCTTCTTCTCATTACACACACGTCTTAGCGGTGATCGTTTATGATCTCCTTATTCAGGAGTGAATGCACCCAAGATGGTATTCATAATTATGATTTAGTTAAAGGGGACATGCAAAGCATGATCATTGCAAATAATATTGTAAGAAATGCACACCCAATGAAACCTTATTTCACTGAATGTCATGAACCTCCAGTCATCACCCTCAGCCTCTATCGACCCAAAAACCTCTCCAAAGTTTCGCAACAAACTTCCGTTTTCTGCCATGTTCATCCATGTTGACCCAGCAAGCTTCTTCAGCTCATCCTGTCAGAGATCTGGAGGTCTTCTTAAGGGTCGTTTGCGTCGTCTCTTGGAATCGATTCTGACGATTCTCTAATATAGCGATGGTCAGTTCTTCTTGCAATGTATTCTGACCTTTGCCACCGTAACTTCTTCACTCAGGCAACTACATCGAAGACTTTTGTACGAGTACTTACACAATTATTGGCCTTCCTATTTTTTCTTGTCACTCACAAACTAATCGTTCCATGCCGCGCTGTGTAAACAGTAAACAGTTTTTGAATAGTTTACGAACTTATCTGAGAGCACACACTGAAGAAACTTTCCACTTCAAGTACAAGGGCAGTTTTTTGGATAAAAGATTCTTAACTCTTCTAAAAGTGCTTCGTTTCACTTATTCTTCTGCTGATCTTACATTATACATAGTCGGTTCTTTGTTGCAAAGGTTGGCTTTCCCAGATAGACAGTTTCGCACCTCATCAATCTCAAGTCCGCTGACTTTAACAGTTCGCCGAGCCACGTATGAACCCTCAGTACCATGTCCAAACGAGTTCTGGCATTTACATTCACCGTTCTGCACATCAAGTCGGTGGTACCCCTTTTTGCTCGAATCCGTGAAGTTGCTGATTCACCTGGAGCACCTACCTCGGAAGACTTGAAATTCTCACATCACAGTTTATTTGTAGCCATTTGAAACTCGTGAAAAATTTTCGCACCTGTCATATCACACCCTTATCAGCAATTTGCATATTAATGCTAAACTCATGACCCGCAATTACCAGTTTCTCGTTCGTGTCATGCTTTGGTTATTACTGCCCTTTTATTGCTGTTTGCAATCAGCCTGGTTTCATCAGACATTAAAAACAGTTCCTGTTAAAATCCTGAAGTTATTGGGTGATCCTGTGATCTTCGTTTCATCTGAGGTGCGTGAGCTGTACGACTTTATTTCTAGATCCTTCGGGCACTGCCTACGGTAAAATTGTCACCAGTTATGTATAGCCTGACCATCCGCGTTAAATCGTAGGACAGGAAAATTAACAGAAGAACAAAAGCGGCATGGGCTAGCTCTAACCGCATTTAAGTATCGCTACTCGAAAGTGAGCTGTCCATGCTAGCGAAAAGGGAACTGTTCGAATCAACCGTTCCGATCGCCATGATCCATGGCGCTGAACGTTGGTCCGCTGCCAAAGTTGAAGAGAACAAACTGACGGTTACAGAAGGCCCCAATGCAACAAAGAATGTGCTAGGTCACCCTTCAAGCTCACGCTTTGAGCGCACGAGTTCGACGATGGACTGGATAAACAACGGTGACTGTTGCCTTCTGCTGCGCCAAGAAAAAACGGATCCGCCATGAGGTTCACCTGAGGGACAAGCGGTAATGTCAAGAATTACGAACTTCATTCTACCGCACTACGAACGTCCCCGTGGTCGTCAAAGAACATGTCGGTACAACCCGTGAGTCAAATTCTTTGCCAACAGTGGAGGGAGAGAACAAAAAACAGAGAAGATCGAGGGAGCATCAGCCCGTGTTTGAGGTGCACCCGCAATTGGCGTTAAGTCGCATGGCGGATATTTCTAAGGAGGCCCAGTCATTTCATTCCCATGACTTTGCAAATCAAGCCCGTTCCAGCGCTATTCACGTTCGACGACAAGAAGTTGGAAATCATCGACTTTTTACTCATTATTCTGCTAGATGCAACAGTAAACACCCAGACTTAGCTGGGCCACAGAAAAACCACCCTTCGCTCATGAGTTATCGAACTTGCAACGCCCAGCTTATAAGAACTAACGGTGACGCCACCTGTCGTATGCTTAAATCTAGGATATGAATTGCACGCGAGCCAGGCTTGCACGAATTCATCGTTTATATGCAGTAACGACAACAACAGCAGGATTTGGCGTCATCGTTCGTTGTGACCTATATTCGATGTTTTATTTTTCTGGTTCAGCAAAAACCGACCTTTGCTATTTTGGCATTAAGCACGATAGTTCGATAATATCACATCTGACGTAGTCAGTCTTCAAACAAATGGCTTAGAGCTTCTGAGGCGCCCTGTTTGCATAGCGAGCTGGTTTGCAACGTGCCTCATGAGTCGAATATGGTCCGATTCGCATCGCCAGTCGCCGCACATTCTCGGAAGCCGGACACAATGGAGCCTTCCGCCTGACCGTGCATGAAGCCGCTGAACTGCTGAGCGCTGTCATCCCGTGGTCGAGTTGCGGCGCTTGTAAGGCGGATGAGGG